CAGTAATTTTAATTGGAAACACAGCCGTCAATATTTGGTTTTTAATTCGGTTTTTATTGGGGTTTATATTTTTGTGTTTTTGTATTCTTGTATTTGTGTATAGTATCTGTTTTTAAATATGCTGTGAACCGCCCTGAGTCCTATGGGAGAAGGGCGGTATATAAATTAAATTATTATTATTATTATTATTATTATTATTAAAGGGCCAAGTTGGAAGACCCCTGCTCTAGAAAGAGTGCAGAGGGGAGCAACAAAGATGATCAGGGGGCTGGAGGCTAAAACATAAGAAGGACAGTTGCAGGAACTGGGCATGGCTGGTTTGATGAAAAGAAGGACTAAGGATAACATGATAGCAGCCTTCCAAAATCTGAGGGGCTACCCCAAAGAAGGGGGGGGGTCCACCTATTCTCCAAAGCGCCTGAAGAAGGCAGGACAAGAAGCAACAGATGGAAACTCATCAAGGAGAGAAGCAACCTGGAACTAAGGAGAAACTTCCTGACAATTAGAACAATTAACCAGTGGAACTACCTGCCTCCAGAAGCGGTGAATGCCCCAACACTGGAAGTTTTTAAGAAGAAACTGGACAGCCATTTGTCCGAAACGGTACAGATAGGGTTTCCTGCCTGAGCAGGGGGTTGGACTAGAAGACTTCCAAGATCCCTTCCAACTCTTGTTATTCTGTTCAATTCTGTCGTGTTCTAACTAGAGGCCTGGTATTCGGCTTCATCCCAGACCTCCTTAATCTAACACGGCGAGCCAGTTTCGAATCCGGGACCTACTTTGCGGCTACTTCAGGACCAAAACAGAATAGCCCAACAAAAGTTGACAAGACAGGGAGATTGGACAGTCTTTGGTCCAACGTTTCTTTGGCTCAGGTTGAGATCTGTCAGTGTGGCCAAGCAAGGAAGGGGGTCTCTCCAGGGAAAGTCATATTCCGGTCCTTCCCTCAGTCATGGATGCTTATGGAGCGATGCTGGGAAAGGATACAGCTGAAGACAACACGGGGGACAGCGAGTCAAAGTTAACAACCTTTTGTTTGTCTTTCTTGTAGGCGCTCCCTCGTCGCCCGCAGCTTCTGAAGACTCTCCCCCTGAGCCAGCTCAGAAGCCTCAGCCTCAGCCAGCGCCTGCGCCAGTGGTGGTAAATATGCCTAAATCCAGATGTGTGGGTGTGAGAGAGAAAGGAAGGAAGGGAAGAGAAAGATGAGAAAGAAAGAAAATCATGTGTGTGTGAGAGAGGAAAGAAAACAGGAGACCAAAGGAAGGAAAGAACGAGAGATGAGAGGAGGAGGGAGAAACAGAAAGATGGGAAAGAAGAAGGACAGAAAAAGGGGAAGGAAGGAAGGAAGGAAGGAAGGAAGGAAGGAAGGAAGGAAAAGAAGGAGGGAGGAAGGAAAGGAAAGAACATTGGGTGTGTTTACGTAGCTATTTCAAACTTGGAGTGGAAATTCCTGAATCTTGCCTCCAGCCTCATAATAAATGTGGCAAGCCAGGCCGTACAACGGGGTGACGCTCACTTAAAAGCCGTCTCGCTTAGCCACGGAAATCTTGGGCCCCCTTGCGGTCGCAAGCAGAGGACTCCCCGTGTAGGTAGAAAAGGGTTGTGTGAAGGGGTCCAGCCAACAGCTGCCTTAGCCCTCTGCGTCTGTTTCTCCCAGGGGCCACACAAACGGATGTATCCTGGTTGTATTCCTTGCAAGAAAAGTAGTCTATGAGGCACATCACCCCACTTTTATTAACCCCCAATAAAATATTGGCCTAAATCAGGGGCAGGCAACCTTGGCTCTTTTATGACTGGTGGACTTCAACTCCCAGAATTCCTGAGCCAGCCATGCTGAGGGAAAAGGGAGAGGTTTCCAAGCTGAGCCATGCTGGCTCAGGAATTCTGGGAGTTGAAGTCCACGAGTCAGGAGGGGGCCATAGTTCCCCCATGCTGCTCAGGAATTCTGGGAGTTGAAGTCCAGGAGTCATGAAGGGGCCGTAGTTCCCCCATCCTGGCTCAGGAATTCTGGGAGTTGAAGTCCACCAGTCATAAAAGAGCCAAGGTTGCCTACCCCTGGCCTAAATTGTCAGTGACCAATGATTGCACTTGTTCATTCGGGGTTAAATAATGGTGAGGACCCGTCGTTCTCTTCCTGTCTTTTCAGGCTTCCGTGGGAGAGAAGAAACGCAAGCGGAAACGTGTCTTGAAGTCGAGAACTTTTGTAGACGACGAAGGCTGCATCGGTAAGTAACCCCAAGTGTCCCTGGCTATGAGAACTCTCAGTTTTTGACCAGCTGGTTGAGAATGTCCATCCCCTTGATCATCAGAATAGAATAGAGCTGGAAGGGACCTTGGAGGTCTTCTAGTCCAGCCCCCTGTTCAAGCAGGAGAACCTATGCCATCTCAGACAAGTGACTGTCTAGCCTCTTCTTAAAAGCCTCCAGTGATGGAGCGCCCACAACATCTGGTGGCAAGCTGTTCCACTGGTTAATTGTCCTCACTGTCAGGAAGTTTCTCCTTAGTTCCAGGTTGCTTCTCTTTTTGACCAGTTTCCAACCATTGTTTTTTTTTCCTTCCCTCTGGTGCTTTGGAGAATAAGTTGACCCCCCCTCTTCTTTGTGGCAGCCCCTCAGATACTGGAATGTTAGAAAAGAAGCATTATATTGATATGGTTATTATTTGCAGAAGCATTAGAAATGTCTGTATTGTCGTTCATTTAAATAATAAGAATCGTATTAATTCAGGGTTGGCAAAAGAGAATATTAATGGAAGAAGAGAAAAATCAAGCAAAGCCAGCATGTGGACTATAGAATTAAACTAATTGTTATCGATGGTTTTTTTTAAAATGTAAGCCCAGACCACACGCTGTTTACCAAATATTAAGGTGATTATGTTAAAAAAAATCAATAAAACATATTTTTTTTAAAAAAAGAGAATGTCCATCCCCTTGCCTGTGAACGAAGACAAGAAACTTGAAAAGGAGACATTGCCTCATGAAAGAGGAACAGTTTACAAAACATTTGTATTAAAAAAAATAATGACCTCCTACCGTAGTTTAAAAATCTCAGATGGTGGATTTAATAATAATGTTGGAAGGGACCTTGGAGGTCATCTAGTCCAACCCCCTGCTCAGGCAGGAACCCTACACCATTTCAGACAAAGGGCTGTCCAGTCTCTCCTTAAAAACTTCCAGTGTTGGAGCATTCACCACTTCTGGAGGCAGGTGGTTCCACTGGTTAATTGTTCTGACTGTCAGGAAGTTTCTCCTTAGTTCCAGGTTGCTTCTCTCCTTGATGAGTTTCCATCCGTTGCTTCTTGTCCGACCTTCAGGCGCTTTGGAGAATAGCTTGACTCCCTCTTCTTTGGGGCAGCCCCTGAGATACTGGAAGGCTGCTATCCTGTCCCCCCTCCTCCTTCTCTTCATTAAACTAGACATCCCCAATTCCAGCAGCCGTTCCTTATATGTTTTAGCCTCCAGTCCCCTAATCCAGTCCTGGTAGTGGCTCAGGCAGCAGGCGAGAAAGCAGGAGGCCACGAGTTCAAGTGCCGCTTAGCCCTCCAAACCCACCTGGGGGGCTTTGGGCCAGACCCTCTCTTTCAGCCCAGCCCACCCTACAAAGGTGAAAACAGGAGGTGTGTTGGATAACTTCCACCACCTTGAGTCACTTGTCCAAATACTAAAGGCAGGACACAAAGAGGCCGTGTCTGTGTAACCTTGTGTCTCCCCTTGTTCCCAGTGACCGAGAAGGCCTACGAGAGCGAGTCGTGCACGGAGAGCGAAGAGGACCTCCGGACCAAGGCCGGCACAGCCCGCAAGGCCCCCCCTGCGGCCGCGAAGAAGGACCCCAAAGAGGAGAAGAGAAGCACCAAGAAAGGGGGGCTGGTCCCTGCCAAGCTCAACAAGCAGGCCTCCATCATGGGCTTTTTCCAGAAGAAATGAGCCCCTCCGACGATCTGCAGGAATCCCTACCCGGGAGGCACGGAATTGGCTGCCCAGGTGAGCTCTCGGCATCCAGACGAGGAGACTCGGGAAGCTTTTGATCCTGGAATTGGATGGACACCAGGTGCTGAAGGCCTGCCCAGGGCAGCCGCGCGGTTCGATGTTTTAAATGGAAGGTGGCACCTTCCTTGGTCTTCTCGAAGCAAAGCTTTGGAGGCAGGTCCCCTCCCCACAGGTGTGGTGGCTGCTCCACACTTTTGGCTTCCATCAGTGCTCGGAGATTGAACTGATGTCCGTCCTTCCTCGGTGGTGGACTTGCCATCCCTTCCTGGAAACTTCTTCTCTGTTGGCTTTGGGGCCACAAGTTGCCCTCGTTGACCAGAGGTCCACGCCAGGCAGGTGGTCTCCAGAGGGGAGCCTGAGGAAGCCAGCAGAGATCCCTCCAAGAACATCTCTCGTGGTTTCCACAGGGCTCCTTTTCCAGAAGACCCGTAGAGGACCTCATGATGACCCGTAGAGGACCTCGTGATCCCACAAGACGTGCTTCCAAGAAGACTGGTGAGATCTCATGATCGGCTAGGACCCGCAGCTGGAAACATCTGGCCTGCTCTCTTAAGGGATCTCCACCGCTTGGCCCAGTAAGCCCCCCTCCCCGTGTTCTCCAGGAATAATCGCCAAGGCTGCCTAGTCAAGGCTATTGAGGGACCCTTGGGTCTTCTAAGAAGACCATCTACTTACAACGGATTCCTCACGGTTCCTTAGATCTTCCAACCCCACTTGATCCAGCCTCCAGAAGATCACCCATCGGGGACTCCGCCAAGGCCTCTACTCTTAATTGGTAGTTGTGAACTTCCCCACAAGGAGAAACCCACCAGGATTGGATTAAGACCACCCTGGGGGTTCGAAGACGCTACTCGATCGTCAACACCTGCGCGTATCTTCCCAACGTGGTTTGCACAGAGGAGCAGGCCTTGCTGTTCTCCGTTCCAAAGAACGCCGCTTCGGCATAGACCCTCTCTAGAGGGCATATAGCAGCCCCCTCCATAAGCTGGGATGAAGGGATGCTTGGAAAATGGGGGGGTCTTTGGCTATTTTGGGGGGCGGGGAAGGAGGGTCTGCTTAAGAAAGAAGCCGTTGATATTGGAAGAACGAGAACGGAGACCATTCTGGGTGGAAAAACTAAACGTAAAATTCTACCGAGGCCTCAATTATAGGGACAGCAGCTGGTCCACCTCTGGATGTTGTCAGCTGTGGGTGACAAAAATCACAACTGCCTCTTGGATGGTCACTTGGCCCCTCTCTGGCCTGCCTCCTCGGTTTTTTACTTCGTTGGGAGTTTTCTTGAGAAGTGGATAGTGTTACTTTTATGGGGTTTTTTTCGTCTGGACTATAGGGGAGAGGAAAGGAGCAGGAATTCGAATCGGGCGACACCAGGCAAGTATTGTACAGACACACATACACACACACACACAGATGAACACAGTTCAATTCTAGCAGTAGTTAATGGTGTTTTTGCAGCCATTAAGGCAGGGGTCCTTCCAACTTGGCCCTTGGATGACTTGTGGACTTCAACTCCCAGAATTCCTCAGCCAGGCACGCGTGCCTGGCTGAGGAATTCTGGGAGTTGAAGTCCACAAGTCATCAAAGGGCCAAGTTGGAAGACCCCCTGCACTTCAACTCCCAGAATTCCTCAGCCAGGCACACTGGCTGAGGAATTCTGGGAGTTGAAGTCCACAAGTCATCAAAGGGCCAAGTTGGAAGACCCCTTAAACTTCAACTCCCAGAATTCCTCAGCTAGGCAAGCTGGCTGAGGAATTCTGGGAGTTGAAGTCCACAAGTCATCAAAGGGCCAAGTTGGAAGACCCCTTAAACTTCAACTCCCAGAATTCCTCAGCTAGGCAAGCTGGCTGAGGAATTCTGGGAGTTGAAGTCCACAAGTCATCAAAGGGCCAAGTTGGAAGACCCCTGCACTTCAACTCCCAGAATTCCTCAGCCAGGCATGCTGGCTGAGGAATTCTGGGAGTTGAAGTCCACAAGTCATCAAAGGGCCAAGTTGGAAGACCCCCTTAAACTTCAACTCCCAGAATTCCTCAGCTAGGCACGCTGGCTGAGGAATTCTGGGAGTTGAAGTCCACAAGTCATCAAAGGGCCAAGTTGGAAGACCCCCCCTGCATTAAGGCTTCGTGTTTGGGCATCCAGATGACCCCTGGATAAGGAGGCACATCCATGCATCTCCTCTCCCAACTTGTGGTTATCTGGATTTTTTGCATCCAAATACGGTCGCTCGAGTTACAGGCCAGCCCCCCAAAAGGATATCTTTCTGGGAAGATATCCCCCCCCACCCAAATAAACTTATTCTTGAAATTCCTGATGACTTCTTGGAATGAATTGGCTGTTTGGGCCACTGGAAGGCCAAAGAAGAAAGCTTTTTGCCTTTCCAACTGAAGTGTTTAGGCCTGAAAAAGCTCAACTCCAGCCTTGCTTCTAGCAAGCATGTTTAATCCCTTGCTGAAAAATCAAAAATCCATCCCAAAACTGTCCAGTTGCAAGAAAATGACGCTTGCCCTGGTTTGATCAGCTTCCAGGTCCATGTTTCCCAGCCTTGACAGGTTTTTAAGGGGTGAATTCTGGCTGGGGAATTCTGGGAATTGAAGCCCACCCCTCTTAAACCTGCCAGAGTTGATCGTGGCTCATTTTACAACGAATGCATCAGGGCAGTAATAATAATACAGATATATATATATATTTTTGGGTGTGTGTGTCTGTGTGTCAACTTCATAGCAATCTGTAATTATTACTCCCATTTTTGCATATCAAACACCAGGGCAGGAGCTGAGACCAGCTTTGTTTGGGGGAGAGAATTATGGGTTGGATAAGGAGTCAAGTGGCCTCTGTTGCAGGAGGTTAACCAAACGTGGACCTTCCCAAGTTCGCCCTCTTTTTATATGTCTTTTCTCCAAACATTTTCCTCCAGGTTTTTTTTTTCCCCCTCTCCCCCCCCCCCCCAAGAAATTTATAGCGGAATAGCCCAATTGAATAAAGATAACGGTCTTTTGATGCTATGTTTATTTCTCTTAATTTGGTTTGGGATAATGTGCACTGCCTGTACCGCTGGCTGGTCAACATCCTTCCAGGAAAGTGGAGGGTTCTCACGCAAGAAAATACTTCAAAAGCGAGTCCATCCATAGCCGCCTTCGTTGTGTTCTTTTTTAAAAAAAACAAACCACTTCTGTTTTAAACAGAATAACTGAGTTGGAAGGGACCCTGGAGGTCATCAAGTCCAACCCCCTGCTCAAGCAGGAAACCGTATACCAGGGTTGCATCTGCGGAGGCCGGTTGCATCGTGCGGAGGCTGTCCCACGCCAGCTCCAGCAATGCAAAAAAAGTTGTGATACGTTGCGACACGTGATGTGGCGAGTTTGACACCCGTGCCCTATACCATTTCAGACAAGTGGCTATCCAGTCTCTTCTTAAAAACCTCCAGTGATGGAGCACCCACAACTTCTGGAGGCAAACAGTTCCACTGGTTAATTAATAAAATAACAGAATTGGGAGGAACCTTGGAGGTCATCTAGTCCAACCCCACCTCAAGCAGGAAACTCTATACCATTCCAGGCAAATGACTGCCCAGTTTCTTCTTAAAAAGCTCCAGTGATGGAGCGCCCACAACTTCTAGAGGCAGGTTGTTCCACTGGTTAATTAATAAAATAACAGAATTGGAAGGGACCTTGAAGGTCATCTAGTCCAACCCCTGCTCAGGCAGGAAACTCTATACCGTTCCAGGCAACTGACTGTCCAGTCTCTTAAAGAGCTCCAGTGATGGATCACCCATAACTTCTGGAGGCAAGAAGTTCCACTAGTTAATTGTTCTAACTGTCAGGAAGTTTCTCCTTAGTTCCAGGTTGCTTCTTGGTTAGTTTCCATCCATTGCTGCTTCTGCCTTCTGGGGCTTTGGAGAATAGCTTGACTCCCTCTTCTTTGGGGCAGCCCCTGAGATATTGGAACGCTGCTATCATGTCCCCCCTCGTCCTTCTCTTCATTAAATTAGACCTACCCAATTCCAGCAACCGTCGTTTTATGACTTGTGGACTTCAATTCCCAGAATTCCTCAGCCAGCATGCCTGGCTGAGGAATTCTGGGAGTTGAAGTCCACGAGTCATGAATGGGCCATAGTCCCCCCCATGCTGGCTCAGGAATTCTGGTAGTTGAAGTCCACAAGTCATGAAGGGGCCAAGTTTGAAGACCCCTGTTTTATGCCATTCCTCACAGCCATTACGGGTTCTGTTTTGGCACTCTGACAGTATATATTGGATGCTTTGTGTGTGTGTGTGTGTGTGTGAAAGAGAGAGAGAGAAATAATTGTATACAGCAAATGCGTGTCATGGAGGCGTAACTATGCACACGTGCAAGAGACACGCATTCATCCATCCATCCTTCCGTCCTTCGGGGACACGCGAGGCTCCACCTCTTCGGCCAGGAGGGGGTGGGGAAAGGCGTCGAGAAGCCCGGCGCTCATGAATATTCACCAGAGGGGGCGTGGCCACCCGCCCCCAGCGCAGGGCGCGCGCCGCCGCCGCCGCGGGCCCCGCTCATGAATATGGAGCAGGGGGCGTGCCCGGCCCCGCCCCCCGTCCTCCTCCCGCCGGGAGAAGATGGCGGCGGCGCTGGCGGCGGGCGGGCCAGGCGGGCGGGACGCGGGGTCGTCGGTTCCGCCGCTACGGCGAGGCCGGGGTCGTCGTCGGCGGGACGAGGCCTGCCCCGCGGACGCCGACGGAGCCCCGGAGACCCCGGCGCGGCGCTCGGGCCAGCGGGAAGGCCCCGCCGGAGACCCGGGCCCGCCGCGAGGTGCGTGGCCGGCGCTTGCCCGCTCGCGCGCGAGTGCGTAACGTGTGAACGGGAGGAGACGCGCGTCCACGTGGCGGCGGCGGCCGGGGGGAGCGGGAAGCGCCGCCATTGGCCGCCTGGAAGCGGGGAGTGGCCGCTGGGGTCGTTGGAACGCGGACGGAGCCACCCTGCGCGGGCACCCGCCTTCCCATCATCCGCAGCCAGTCCAGAACCAGTGAGAAACGGGCGGGGGAGTGAGCTGCCTGCGTATCCCTCGAAGTGGTCGTGGGAATGCGACGGTGGCCTCTCTGGCCAACCCGCGTTGATGCTTGCAAGCTTGACACGCTAGTTAACGCACAGGTGGTCGTGGGAATGCGCGCTTGTTTCCCCTGAAAGGGGCATCTCCATTGGCGTTCACGGGAAAAGAGGGCGAGATCTGCAAATGTTGGCTAGATGCGAGTCTTTGTGGCAGACCAGAGATTTGTTGGCTGAGTTGTGGGTCCAGGTTTCTCAGTGTTGGCGTCTGGAAGATGGCTGGACTTCAACTCCCAGAATTCCCCATCCGGCAGAGCCGGTGTAAAGAACACAGGGGAATTCTGGGAGTTGAAGTCCAACCATCTTCAACTTTGCCAAGGTTGAGAAATCCAGGGGGTCCTCGACTTACGACCACAATGGAGCCCAATATTTCAGTTGCTAAGCGAGAGTTAAGTGAGGTGCCACCGTTGTTAAGCGAATCACTGCGCTTGCTTAATTAGTAACACGGTCGTTAAGTGAAGCCGGCTTCCTCTGTTGACTTTGCTTGCCAGAAGGTTGCAAAAGGGGATCGCGGGACATGACCGTCGTAAATAGGAACCAGTCGTCAAGCATCAAAAATTTTGATCCTGTGACCGTGGGAAGACCACAATGGTGTTAAGTGTGGAAAAAATGGTGCTCATTCCCTTTTTTTCACTGCTGTTGTAACTTTGAATAGTCACTAAATGGACCGTTGTAAGTCGAGGACTACAGAAGCAGTATTTGAGTAATGCTAGCGAGGGGATTCTGGGAGTTGAAGTCCACCCATCTTAGTTGTTAAGATTGTGAACCTTGGCTCAGAACAGCTACTGAAATGCTACAGGTCCTCTTGATTGATCAGCGGGCTGGACTAGAAGACCTCCAAGGTCCCTTCCAGCTCTATTCAAGTCTTCGTTCTATTCTGGAATGTGTTGTTCCTTGTGCTTAAGGCCGAAAAAGGGACCTGGATGTCCATCTTCAAGACCTCAAAGACCTGGCAACGCCTGGTCTCTCTTTGCGGCTGTCCTCACAGGGCTGTCGTACTAACCCCTTGTCACCTTGGCAAGTTTCCATCAGCTCTGTTACCCTTGCTTTATTTCAAGAGGGTCTCTCGGCTGAATTTAGCCAATGGTGGCTTGCAAATTTCAAAAGAAGGTCACGGGAGAACAGGAAACCGCTATCTGTGTTCACACAACAGGTGAAATCCAGGACAGACGTAATACATACTGAGGGGGGGAGGTGAAAAAAAAACAGGACATTTTAAAGCAGGGGTCTTCAAACTTGGCCCCTTTATGACTTGTGGACTTCAACTCCCAGCCTGCTATGTGTGAAGGTGTCTGTCTGAGGAATTCTGGGAGTTGAAGTCCACAGGTCATAAAAGGGCCAAGTTTGAAAACCCCTGTTTTAAAGGGTGGACTTCAACTCCCAGCCTGCTGGGAGGGAAGATGCCTGACTGGGGGATTCTGGGAATTGAAGTCCAGAAGTGACCACCTTCGAAAAACCCTGGGTTAGCGTGCACAGGAGAAGACGCAACTGTGGTGTGTTTGGGTTGCTCTCACAGGGTTGCGATCATCTCAGTGGGACCCTTGGAACCTTGTGATAGCCAGGCCCACTTCCCCAGATCCAGAGCCAAACAGGAAGTCATTATGAATGACTTCTGGGGAATTCTGGGAGTTGAAGTCCACACATCTTAAAATTGCCCCCATTTCGGAAACACCGGCTTAGAGACCAAACGGGACCTTAGGTGTGTGAAGTGTGGTGTGTCTTTTTGCTCTAATGCAGGGCTCTCCAAACTTGGCAACTTTTAAGACGTGCGGACTTTGACTCCCAGAATTCCCCAGCCATAATTTCTTCCTGATATCGTGGCTGGCTGGGGAATCCTGGAAGTATCTGTAAGTCCACATGTCTTAAAGTTGCCATGTTTGGAGACCCCCGTTCTAACAGTGTTGGCATCGTCGCGGTGGGACCCTCGCAGCGTTATCAGACACACACACACACACACACACACACACACACACACACACACCAGATCCAGAGAGAAACAGGAAGCAATGATGGATCTTGGTTGCGCCAGAGGTCTCTTTTCCAGATCCACCTGGATCGGGAGAGCCAGGAGATCCCTTGCCTGGAATGAAGAGAACAGGAGGAACCACATTTTTCTGACTTTACTAGCAGCCGGTTCTCCTCCGCCTTTGCTCAAAGGACGGTCCTTCCACCTTGACTCACTACTAGTGTGTGCGTTCATAAGTGTGCAGTAAATTGAGTTGCCTAGGGTGGGCCCCGATGCTGGCTGGTGGCACGTGTGCTTGTGAATGGGCCTGGGAGGCATTGAGGGCTGGAAGTCCCATTCTGCCTGGTTTCTCTTTTGGGAGATTTCGTTTGTTTGTATCCCGCTTTTATTGTTTTTACAAATAAGGCGGTGGACATACCCAACACGCCTCCCTCTTCCTATTTTCTCCACAACTACAACCCTGTGAGGTGGGCTGGGCTGAGGGTCTGGCTCAAAGTCAGCCGGCTGGCTTTCGTGTCTAGGGTGGGACTAGAACTCACCGTCTCCTGGTGATTGGCCAAAGGTCACCCAGCCAATATTGGTGCTTTTAGGGCAAAACTAGAACTCGCCATCTCCTGGTGATTGGCCAAAGGTCACGCAGCCGACATTCATGTCTAAAGTGGGACTAGAACTCACTGTCTCCTGGTAATCGGCCCAAAACCACCCAGATGGCTTTCTTGCCTAAGGCGGGACTAGAACTCCCCGTCTCCTGGTGATTGGCCCAAAGTCACCCAGCCGGCTTTCATGCCTAAGGCGGGACTAGAACTCCCCGTCTCCTGGTGATTGGCCCAAAGTCACCCAGCCGGCTTTCATGCCTAAGGCGGGACTAGAACTCACCGTCTCCTGGTGAT